CTTGTTAAGATGCCCTCTATCCTCTGGCTCCAACGAGTGATCTAACCCACTAAAGGTCCCCCACATGGGAATGCAGTGGCAAAAAGAAACCCTGGAATGACACCCTGAATTTGGAGGCACATATGTCAACAGGTACTGATGGGAATCATTCCCAGAATATCGGGCCCTGATAGCTGGTGGTCTGGGGCTTATTGCAGGATATGCAAGCAGGAAGGACAGCAGCAGAATGGCTTGTCAGTTGGAGACTGGTTTCTAAAATGTGCACCATAGTGTCCAGCTGTATATCACAGTGCCCAGCCATTTCTAAGAGACAAAAGCAACGAGGACAGGAACCATTACCTGGGCAACTAAGAAACTAAAGTATACTGGCTGGAGGGGGGCATAGTCTGCTACAGGTGCCCTCCTCATATATCATCTGAGGGTGACCAGGGTGACTCAGTAGACACATTCTGGGCCTTGGTACCATCCCCTAGGTCTCTGAACTCCCTGTAGAATTAGAGAGACAGAGACAGAGACAGAAAGATAGAAAGCAAGAGACTACCACCACTACCACGGGACCACAGTGTGGAGACAGAGGGCACAGGAAGACAGAGGCTGAGAGGAGGTGGTGGACTGGACACCGCTATGTCCATCGGGGTTTCAGTACACATCATGCTCCAGGATTCATATATAGCTTTGGCATCCCAGACATCTGGAGATGGGGTCCCTAGAAGCAATAAGTAGCAGTCTCTATGGACATAGTCCCTGAACCCCATAGAGGTGTCAGTGTTGCCCCCATCGTCTCATCAGCAAGGAAGGAAGTACAGTCAGCGTTTCCAGTCACACAAGTTATATTATCCTGGAGGTCAAGCACAGAGTTCCCACCACTTGTTAATATGAAAGAAAGACACTGACTGTGCCATGGGCATATCGCCCTGAACTGCATGTGGCCAGCTCAGCCTGTGCTAGGAACAGAGAGGCTTGTGGGAGCCATTTTCTCGGAGTTTCTTGCAGACGAGGTGATCCAATCATCAGTGCCAGCACTCAGTCTACAGGACAGTGTGGGGTGGGCCCCCCACAGGTTTCATGCTCCTGATACATAGAGGCACACCTCCATGGATCAGGGTACATGCTGGCTGTACACCCAGCTATTAAAGACCAGATATCCGTAGCCTTAAAGACTGAGCCTAGAATTGCTCTCCACTGGTTGCATCAGACTTGTCTTGGGCAAGATCATGCTGTGAGAGAAAGTCTAGGACTTTCCTGCTATGGGACACTACAGCCTCAGAGTCCTGACCAGATTCTTGATATCTCAAACAAGGACATTCAGAAAAAGTAACAAAAGGAATAGTTTTTGAAGGCCAAAGAGGTGAAAATACACTCCACAGAGTGACAGCAGGCCATTGAGAAGAGCTGACCGCCCTGATGGGGCAGGCACTTAAGGTCCATGGCTCATGGAGGATCCATAGTGGGGGACAGACAACAGAGTGTCTGGCTGGCTCTCCTTCTGCAAGTTTTTGACCATATGCAGTTTTCAGAGGAAGTACGATGGCATCCAAAGCTGTGGGATGGAACGAATGGGAAATAAAGCAAATGAGGTTGGACACAGGCCAGTGTCTTCTACTTCTGGTTTTGCACATGTCTGGGGTGGAGGATGATCTTTATCTGTCGGTTTCCTGATGTCTTGACATAGTCATCCTGGTGTCTGGTTTCTCAGTTTTTACCCCATGACTTCTTGTTTATTTGTCCTTGCTCAGTCCCCTGCCTCACTGCCCCTCTCTGCTCAGGACCTCCTGCTCTGTATTCCCTCCCAGGCCTCAAACACAAAGTTTCTGTCTCCAGATGCACACAGGACTTGGGTCCCTGAGGACAGGATACTGTCAGAAGCTCCTTGTAGGTGGGCCTAGGACCTGGAAAGCAGATGGACCTAGGACCAGGAGCTCAGACAGAAGTGCTGTGAACTTGGTTCCCTACACAGGGAAAGAGGTGACTGGGAACCTGGATCTGCTGAGGTAGGCACCATGTGCAGAGGAGGCTGGGCTGGCATGGGATCTTAACCGCAGTGTCAGGTGAGAGGCAGTAGCTTTAGAGATTTGCCTGTGGTCAGTGCCTCTTCTCTCCTGTTAATAGCTCTAGAAGCCCCTGAACCTACCCCCTATGGTGGGGGGGGGGGTCCATAGCCTCAGTCTACTAGCCATCCCATTGAAATATAATTAACACGCCCCACCATTCAAACATTGAAAGAATCCAATTCAGTGGTTTCCAGTGTCCAGGCCCTACTTTGGTCAGCTTTAGGATTAAAGCAGCTCTGGGTCCTTAGAATCACTCCTCTGCTATCCTGGGAAGCCCCTGTACCCACTTTCTGTTCCTGATGATTTCCTTACTTTACCTTTGATATGAATGCAGTCATGAAGTATGTGATCTTTCATATCTGGTTTTTCTCACAAAATGTTTCCAAGGTTCATTTATGTTGGCGCCAGTAATTCATTCCTCTTTAATGATCCAATAGAATTCCATTGTCTATCCTACGTTTTGTTAATCTCTTTATCCACTGGTGGGCATTTGGGTTGGTTTGCCTGTCATCTCTTAATAATGAGAAGTACTATAAAATTCATATACAGGGTTCTGTGTAGGCACGTTTCCTTTTTTCGTGGACAGATATTTTTGAGTGAAGTTGCTGGGTCAGATAGGGACTCTGCTTAGCCTTTGAGGATTTGCCAGATAGTTTTCCAAAGTGACTGACTGAACCATTTTACATTCCCACCAACAGTGCTTGAAAACACCAGTTTCTGCATCTTCTTCCCAACACTTTTTGTCTGATTTCTTGATTCGACTCTTCTACTAGGTGTGACAAGATCCTTGTGGTGATCTTTTTGTGCATTACTATGACTAGTGATGTCAAGCATTCTTTCATTGCTTATTGGCTGGCCATTGATACATCTTTTTTGCGGGGAGGTACTGGGAATCAAACCCAAGACCTTGCACTGTGCCATGGAGCTATATTCCTGGCCCTGTATACCTTCTTAATGCTTTTTTTCCTTTTAAGTAATGTTCTACTACTGAGCTACTGAGCTACATTCTAGCTTGTGTGTTTTTTTTGTTTGTTTGTTTTTCATTTTGCTTTTGTGGCACTAGGACCTTTGCAATGAATTACATTTTCAGTTACATTTGTACTTTTTATTTTGAGACAGGGTTTTGTCAAGGCTGGGCTCAAATCTGCAGTCCTTCTGCCTCAGCTTCCCAGAGACCTAGGATTAGTCATACTTTACTATGCTATTTGGAATGGAATTTTTTTCCTTAACTTCATTTTCAAATTCTTCATTGTAAGTATGGTACAGAATTAATTTTTGCATTTTGATGTTATGTCTTAACAACCTTGTTGAACTCGTTAGCTCTAATTTTTTTCCCTCCCAGTAGATTTAGTGGTTTGTCATCTGCAAATAGAATCTAATTTCTTCCTTTCCAGCTTGGGTAGTTTATTCCTTTCTTTTGCCTGATTATCCTAGAGATAGAACCTTCAGTACAGTGTTGAAGGGTGACACAAGCAGTGTTGAAGGGTCATCTTAGTGGGAGCAGCCAGTCTTCATCTATGATTCAGCGAGTCCCTTTAGAGGAAATTTGTAGCTTGTTGAGTTTGATGAAAAAGTGGACTTTGTCAAAATTTGTGCTAATATGATTGTGATTTTTAGTTTGCATGATGATTACAATGTATTATATTGATTTTTCAGATACAAAACTAGCTTCCCTGGATAAACCCAACTCTGTCGTGGACTCTAATTCTCTTCCTTTGCTGTTATAGAGTTAGAGCTTCTTATATCAGTATATATAAGAGATACTGATCTATAGTTTTTTAATGACTTCTGTTTTTAATCAGGGTAAACACTGGCCTCACAGAGAAAGCTGGCATTTCGGTACATGGTAGTTGTGAAGACTTATTTGTACTCTGTTGGCAGAGTTCAGTAGCCAAGACATTTGGCCTGGACTTTCTCTGCGTAGCTTGTCAGTTGCTGGTTCATTTTTCTCACTTGCCCTAGTTCTATCAGATGGTGTTTTCCTAAGCCTGTTTCTGCGGCTTGCCTCTAAAGTTTATGCTTTCCATCTGTGATATTCAGTGGTCCCTTCTACTCCTTTCAGGCAGCCACATGTCCCTTCTTGCATTTCTGATTCTGGTAGCTTGAGTCTTCTTTCTTCTGGTCACAACAGCTAGAAATTTGATTTCTTTCCAAAGAACCAGCTTTTGGCTTCAATATTCTGTTCCATGCATTCTAGTTATAATCTTTATTGCCTCATTCTTTCTACTTGCTAAATGTTTATTTACTCATCTTTTCCCACTTGTTTTAGCGTGACAGGTTAGGTTAATTGGTAATTTTTAACCTTTCTTCTTTCCTACAGGCCTGGAGGGTCATTATTTGAGAAGCCTTAAATGGCTCTAGGTTTTAAGTAACTTTCTAGATACCTGGCTCAACAGAGTGTATCAATTAGTTTCATATCAACTAATGGCCAATTAAATATTTTTAAAACCAATAGTTTTTAAAAATTTTTTTTCATTATTAGTACACGTTGATAAAATGGCGAGGTTCATTTTGGTAAATAAATGCATCCACTGGGACTGGGGATTAAGCTCAGCAGCATAAGCACCTGCCTTGCAAGCAGGCGGTCCTGAGTTCGATCCCCAGTACCGATAAAAAAATAAAAAATAAAAAATGCATCCACTTAACACATTGTCTTTATCCCATCACCCCCCTTTTTTTTTTCCCTTGTGCTTCTGATCCCCTTCAGCATCCAACAATCAGTCTTCTAATTTCCTGTTGTTTTTTCTGTTTGGTTTCTTATGCAAAAGGAAACATATGGACATAACTTTCTGAGTCTGGCTTACACGATGCTCTGTAGTTTCAGCTTTTTCTTTCAAAACAGGAATCAGGCCTTTTCATCAAGCTTCCCTCCCACCTCCCACAGCCTGCAGCGCACTTCCCTGGAAGGGCAGAGCGCTGTCCCAACCACGTGTCCCCTCTCCCCTCCAGGGCGAGTGCTCTGCAAAGTGCCACAGCCTCTTCGTGCTGGAGACCGTGTGTGTGGCCTGGTTCTCCTTTGAGTTCCTGCTGCGCTCGCTGCAGGCCGAAAGTAAGTGCGCCTTCCTACGGACACCGCTCAACATCATCGACATCCTGGCCATCCTGCCCTTCTACGTGTCGCTGCTCGTCGGCCTGGCGGCGGGGCCCGCGGGCAGCAAGCTCCTGGAGCGCGCAGGCCTGGTCCTGCGCCTGCTACGCGCACTGCGCGTGCTCTACGTCATGCGCCTGGCGCGCCACTCTCTGGGGCTGCGCTCGCTGGGCCTCACAGTGCGCCGCTGCGCGCGCGAGTTTGGGCTGCTGCTGCTCTTCCTCTGCGTGGCCATGGCGCTCTTCGCGCCCCTTGTGCACCTGGCCGAGCGCGAGCTGGGCGCCCGCCGCGACTTCTCCAGTGTGCCAGCCAGCTACTGGTGGGCCGTCATCTCCATGACCACCGTGGGCTACGGCGACATGGTACCGCGCAGCCTGCCGGGCCAAGTGGTAGCGCTGAGCAGCATCCTGAGCGGCATCCTGCTCATGGCCTTCCCGGTCACCTCCATTTTCCACACCTTTTCACGCTCCTATTCGGAGCTCAAAGAGCAGCAGCAGCGCGCCGCCAGCCCCGAGCCGGCCCTGGGTGAGGATAGCACGCGCGAGGACAGCACGCACTCAGCCACCCCCACGGAAGACAGCTCGCCAGACGCTGAGAGGGCGGACTCTGCCAGGGATGAGCGATCGCCGCCGAGGCGCTGAGCTAGTTAACCCTTCGGCCGCGCAGCACACGAACTGGCTCTGCAGCGTGTCTAAACCTAAAAACCATGAGTTTCCGCTGTAGAGTAATTCATCTTTGACTTCCGATACCAGCTTCTCAGGTGACCAGGCCTCCTCTGGGGTGGCAAAGCTCAAGCTTTGCATGTAGGCATTTGAACTAAGCCTTTTCCCTGCCCTCCCAGCTGGTCTGCAAACCCCAGAGCTCACCCCTCTGGAACACATCTCTACTGGAACCACCTCTGGGACTTGACGCCTCTCCTCTCAAGACTTGGCTGGCAGACTTAGAGAGGATGGATGGATCTCGTCCAAAGAGCTCCAGCAGCTCAGGTGGGGGGGGGGGGCAAATCCTTCCACAAGTGTGAGCCTTTCTCTTCTCTGTAGGGATGGGAAGAATGGAACTTTACAAATCATGCTGCTTTGTATTTCATTTTAGCGAGCTCTACAACCATACCTGAGCTACTGAAGGCCCAAGACCACCACCCAGGTCCTGCTGCACTGCTTGACAGCTTCAGGCAAGGCCACTGGTGTATGGGGAAGCCCATATCAGGCCCTTGCAGCTGCGGACTCTCCTGAGATTTCACTGCATCCCAATAAACAATGCTGGCCTCTCCTGCATAGCTCCTGGCTGAATTGACTCTGGGGCAGTGTCACCTGCAGTCCCTGGGGTCCTGAGTGCAGGGTTCTAAAGGTCAGAGAGATGTTTTCCTGTAGCGGTGGGCAAGTCAGTAGATGCATATGGCTGCAGTAACCAGAATGCATCTGACCTTGCTCGCATCCCTAGGGGGTGGACTTTCCCGGGGCATGCAGTCATGGAGGCACTGAGCAAACTTCGGGGCCTTGCAGCAGGATAGCAAGCTCACCCTGCAGCTGTGACATTGGCACTGGTCTGGATCAGAAAACCATAGGCTTTCAATGTAGAGTAATTCCTCACTTTGGACCTCTAACACCAGCTTCTCAGGTGATCTGGCCTCTTCTGGGGTGGCAAAGCTCACAAGGAGCCAGATTCCCAGATCCGACTACACAGCAAACCCAGCCTCAACCCAGGGCAAGGCTGGGCAATCTCGGGGTGCCAGCTGGGCTGGGCTTTCCATGATGCCCTGGGTTCTGGTGGTGGTGTGGGTGGGGCCTCAGCTCCCCACCCTTGTCTTTTCTCATCCTTGCCCCCAGTAATGCATTGGCACGCAGTTACCTGGCTCCTCTCATTTCTAGGCAGGGGAGAGGGGGCTTGGATGCATGTTACTTGGCAAACAAGTAACTAGGTCTTGCCAGTGACCAAATAGCATCCTTCCTGGGTCAGAAGAGAAGGCCAGCAAACGCAGGAGAATCCACTTTCTTCCAGTCCTTACACAAGCTCCTTACAGTCAAAAAGATACCCTCATTTCAGAGTTGGAAGTAGCTGTCCAAGATGGCCCAGCCAGGTGTGGCAAGCTGGCTGAAACCTGTCCACCCAGCCAGTGACCTGGATCTGGAAACCAACACTGCCAAGTACCGGGTTCCTACACTCTGTGGGGCAAAGTCCTCTTCTCTCTACTGGGCCACATGCCAGGGTCAAGGCCAGAGGTAAAAGGGTACAAGAGCCAGAGCTGTCTACAAACTTGGACTGGAGTCAGAAGGCACCTAAAGGGTCCTGTGTTCAGACCTCCCTCCTCTTGGCATGTGCCCTCAACAGCAGAGGGGGCACATGTTATGGGAAGCCCTCACAGTGACAGCCCTGAGGCTTGACATCAGCCAGGCACCAGATCACTAGACACTCAGCCTCCTCCATTAGCCTGAGTGCAGCATGCCCTTCTGCCTGTCATCCTCTGAGAACAAGATACGTCTGCCTGTGCAGAGCGCACTGACCTGCACCACGAACACCTGGTTAACAGTGGGGTAGGGACCGGAGAACACCCGGCCCCTAGGTTCCTTCATCCTCTGAAAATATGAGGGGACCACCCTCCCCACAGGAGACGGCAGAGGGCTGGGGCCAGGTTGGGTCTATTTCCTGTCTGGTTTTAGGGGACACAAACCCTCATTCCCACCAGCTCACTCCCTCACACTCGAATTAAATCCTCTCAGGAAACACCTGCTGTGGGACTCTGGCAAGACATACAGTACACTAGCTACTTCCTGGGTACATCTGTTGTTCACATGAAGTCATTCAGGACAGCAGTCATGTAACTGGGATTAAAAAAAAAAGTCACCATTTACACACAGACACACACCCACTGGGAGCTGCCTGAGATCCATTCCTGGTCCCTACCTACTAAGGATGGCTGCCTTGGCTACCAGACTGTATCAACACAGGGTCAGGAGCTCTGGGGCCATCTGAAGAGACCAGCCAACAGTACCTTGGGGGGGGGAGGGGCTTCTCTGTACCTCAGCTTCCTTAATTATGGCCACAGCCAGTCAGTGATTCCCAAAGCCTCCTGGTTCTGTATCCACAGATGCATACAATCCTGTCACTGTCACAGGGCTTGGACTCACATGGAACTAGATTTCATCCTTGAGGTAACTTGTGTCCAGAATCTCCAGTATCTGCTGGCTTAATAGCCAAGCACTCCCTTATGTTCAGTCTTGTGCAAGCTCACTAGAATTTCAATGGGCCCCAGCCTTTCAACCCTGACCACCCTGCGCCCTGCCCTGCCATGCTGGCTGAGTCTATTCCCAATGGATCTACAAGCAGTTTATTGTCCCAAAGCTGCCACATGGAGTACATTCATTCTGCAGCCTGCAATCAGTGACATTTTAATTTAGAGGGAATAACCACTAGATACATCTCCCTTTGATTTAAAAAAATGCACATTTTCAAAGCATCTTTATGAGCCAAAGAGCTAAGGGCCTCAAACATTCAAGAGTTCTGAGGGAACTCAGAAGGTGGAGACAGCACGGATGGTTTCCTGCCAGCCATGGCAAGTTACACAGTAGCTGAGCTTTGGTACATGGAGCTTTGGTGCTGATTGCAGAGACCTGTGCACCAGAGGCAGATGCTCTGCCCAGTAGAAGGGAAGATGCCACCTGTAGGAGCCACACAGAAGTATCTGGAACTGTAGCCCAGTAACAGCCAGGTCAGCATAAGGCTGCTGAGAATGGCATGACCTCAGGTTAAACTGAAAGGGACAAAATACAGTGACAAGTGTCAGGCCAGCGGCATCCACCTCCAAGCACAGCAGACTTGCAGCTTGGCACAGCAGGTGGGCAGAGGATGGGGCTGCCAGCAGCTGGGATCCCCACCCGCTGTCTTTGGGGCTGAAAGCCTTCTTCCTCCAGACTTAGGGAGGCTATACTTTGAGCTGGGCCAAAAAGGTCACTGAGTACTTCAAGGCCAGGCCAGTGTTTTTCAAGAGGACATAGGGAAGACACTCACTTTCTCTACCACCTTAAAAACACCTGAGGGCCAGCCCTAGGCGTGAGATCTGCTCTCACCATACCTATGGTGGCGAGCATGAATACTGGCCCAGCCCACCTGTCCTGAGTGCTCCACCCAGAGGCTGATGGAGAGCCTGCACCCAGTCTGTCTCTGCCCATGGCCACTCTCCTGCATGGACCACAGGACTCTGCCCCAACACAGGGAGCACAGGTGCTGGTTAGTGCCCAAGGCTGGCAGTCACACGTCGCTGTACTCCTCAGAGGGCCTTGGCACTGGCGGGGTGTGCTGTGTGGGGTACTGGCTTCTGGGGGTGGTGGGCGAAGGTGTAGGCTTGCCCCAGGATAGCCAGATCCACCAGCACCTGCAGCAGGCCACAGACTGAAAACTGCAAGGGTGCGCCATTGAGCAGGAAGTAGGCTGTCTTGAAGGTGTCACCACTTGTCCACATGAGTACCATCTTGAGGCTGCAGAGACACAAGGGGATAGCAGTGAATCAGGAGGACAGGATACACACGGTCAGCAGTCACCCAGGAGGACAGGCATAGGGAAGGCATAGGTTAGCAATGTGACCCAAGAACAGACGCCATATCCTGACCTGTTGAGAAACTGAAATTGGGTGTGGCTTGGCTGGGTTTAAGGCTGCTCTGCTGCAAAGTTGGACAACCAGCAGGGAATGAGATGGCCCCAGACAGCTGCCCTCACTGCTGCACATGTATGCTGAGCACTGGCCGAAGACAACTGTAAGGCACCAAGAGGCAGCCAGCATGGTGGCACATACCTACAACTTCAGCACTCTGGGAGGCTGAAGCAGAAAGATTCCAAATTTTATTACTCAGCCTGGGTAATTTAGCAACTTACCAAGATCTTGTCTCAAAAATAAATAAATTAATTAATTAGTAATTAAGTGGCTGGGGATATGTACAAAGAGCCTGGCTTCAATCTCTAACACTGCAACTAAACAAAATGCCAAGAGGGTGCCTGTTGACCCTGCTAGCAAAGGAACCGGGTAATTCTCTCAGTATCACATCACACAGTAAGCAGGTGTGGGATCCTGTAGGTTTAACTCCAAAGCCTGGAAGGGACAGGGCTAGGGTAACAGGAAATGCAGCTACAGTCCTGACCCCAGGACCATCTGTCCCTGTCTCAGACAGTCTTCCTGGGCTCTTTATTAGTATGGGTGACCCTGCAGCTCTGAATGCCCAGGCGCACTGTCCACCACAGCAAGGGAGACACAGGGTCAGTGCTGGCACAGGTTGCTACCCAGTGCCTGGGGATAATTTTAGCTGTCGAGACGCTCAGCTTGCATTTGCACTTCAGGCAGGAAGCCTTGTGAGTGATCATACTGTTGTCCCCTAGGACAGGAATGTAACCACCATCACACAATTTGAGGCGTGGGCAGAGGATGTGGGTAGCAGGGCCCATCCTGCATAGCTGATTCTCTCTGCAGGCACCATACAGGTAGACAGGCACTTCAAAGACCCAGATCATTCAGCTCTGCCTGCTGGAATTTTCAATGTCACTTCCCCCGAGACAAGGAATTACCATTCTTCCCCTCACTGAGTTTCCCACAATCCTTCAGCCTCAACAGCATCTGCAGAGAGCAAGTCTCAGAAGTTTTACCCAGTGGCTTCCTAAGCACCCTGAGCCTGGCCCTGGCCAATTAGTTGTGAGCTGTCCTCCTTCAAGTTTCCCTATCCTGGACAGGAGAAACTGCCAGTTCTAGTTGAGGATGTACCTATAGCCCAGGAGCCTGCCCTTGGGGCAGAGAATTTGGTAGGTGGAGCCAGCACAGGTTGGGGCAGGGTTTCCACTTTCAGCGCACTCTGGGAACTGGTAGCCTGGGGAACAGTGTCAGCTCTTTCTTCAGGCCCCAACTGCGCTCCCGCCCTCTTCAGTGCCTCTTGTTCTGGCACACCCACTCCCACTATTTGAATCTGGTTTCTCATTACCTCATTACCTTGGCTCTAGCAGTCTTCCCCCCGAACTGGAATGTTAAGTCACTGTTCCTAAAATACATCTCACCCCATCCTGGCCCTGGGCCACACAGCCCACACAGCCATGCTGACCTATTCCATCCCCAGCCCTGACAAGGGGCATGGCAAGCTAGTCCACCACAAGGGCCCCTCCACAATGAAAATCTACCCAAAGTAGACCTCTAAGCATTGTCTATGACCCTGGGTTACACAGAGCTCTCTTTGGTGACACACCAAAAGCAAATGCATAAGAAAAACAGACACACTGTGCTCATCAAAGTTAAAATATTGTGCTGTGAAGGACACCAGCAACAAATGAAGAAGATAACCACAGAATGGGGTAAAGTATTTGTAAATCAGGTATCTGAGACATTTTAATATCCAGGAAATACTTTTGAAAAACTGCTGCAACCCATTAAAAAAAAAAAAACACACACACACACACACAGAAATAGCCAATTTAAAAATGGACAGAGAGCCTGAACAGACATTCCTCCAAAGAAAATACAACAGGGGGCAATAAGCACATGAAAAGATACTTGCTGCACATGGTGGTGCATGCATGTAATCCCAGCACTCAGGAGGTTAGAGGCAGGAGGATCACTACAAGATTCAGGCCAGTCTGGGCTACAAAGTGAATTCAAGGCCAGCCTGAACTACATAAAAACAACTTTTCTCAAAAAGACAAAAAAAAAAAAAAATGCACAACTGCATAGTCAAAAGTCAGCAGGAAAATGCAAATCAAAACTGTAATGAGCCAGGCACAGTGATGCTGTAATCCCAGTCATTTGGGAGGCAGAGGCAAAAGGACTGCAGGTCTGAGAACAGTTTGGGCAACTGTGCATATTTATCTCCAAGTAAAAAATAAAAATAAAACGGTCTAAGGACGCAGCCCAGTGGTAAGTGAGGCCCTGGCCTCAAACACCAGTAGAGTAAAACAAACAGAACCAGCAATGAAACCCTACTATATACCCACATGGATGGCTGGAAGGGCATATGGGAAATGAGGTCCTCACACACACAGCTGATGGTACAGCCACCATGGAAAACAGCTCACGGCACCTCAAACGCGAGTAACCACATGGGCCAGCCACTCCATGCCCAGACATTTGCCCAAGAGAAAAGAAAACAGACATCCATATAAAAACATGCACATTAATGTTCAGGGGAGCCTGAAAGGTGCTGAACCACCCAAATGTCCAGCTGAAGAACAGATGAACATAACCTGGTACACTCACATGAAGCCCTATTTGGCCATTAAAGGAATGAAGTACTGACCCACCAGATCTCTGGGTACTACAGTGCTCCAACTGGAGAAAATAAGGATACACAGGAAGCTGAGAAGTCCCAGCCATGCTTTCTGCTGGACAGTCCAACGAGTATCCAGGAGAAACATGGACAGCATACGCCTGAGCTTAAGCAGAATCTGGAATGGGGCAGGGGCAGCACCTGAGTACAGCAGGACAGATGTGTGGACCCCACTCAAAGCCTAGGAGACAACTCAGCAAGAAAGAGCTTTCTGGGGATGACAGAAGGACCACAGCACCAGCTCAGCCTTGCAGCAGAGGGAGTAGGCAAGCGCAGTCGGGTGCCTTCCCCAAGAAGCTTGCCCAGCAGGCAGCTCCAGGCCTCTGCACACCCATCTTTCCTAGCTCCATGCTGCCCTCTCCACTGTGCCTCAGCCCTCAGCTGGAAACAGAGAACCTAAAAGGGTGTCATCTAATGCTGGAGTTGTGAAACACATCTCACATGTGGAAGAAACGTTGCCAGGCTTCCAGAACTTGCCCAAGGGTGACGCTAAAACCCAAACAAGAGCCGAGGTACAAACAGCAGTAAGCAGCTGCAGCTGTGGTCTTAGGGTTTCCGTATCAGGTGGAGGACCCCCTCTCACATCCAAGCTCCAGGGCCCACATCCAGGAGTTTACTTGAGCCCTGCCCCAGTCTGAACATGTGTGTCCCTCCAACACTCACACTGAAACTAGACCCCTAGACCACAATCTAAGAGCTTGCTTCTCTCCCACCAAGTCTCTGGAGTGTTCACATGCACTGGCAGGACGGACCTAATACCTGAGCCTGAGTGCATGTCCTGCTTGTCATGCATGACATGGGAGGACTTTGTCCCATGGGAGGACTCCCACATTCTCTGCTGGACAAAGGTAGCCCCTGTGCAAACCACACAGTGTCCAGTCCTCCAGGGAGTCAGAACACTGGCCCAGGGAAAGGGCCGTGAATGGGTTTCAGTGGGCAGAGTATACCCCAGGCCATCCTGCCGGCTCCTCACAAAAGAGATCATTCTGTGAGACCCTCACTGGAGGGAAGGGGCGGAAGTCCAACTGTTGGATCGAGCCTTGAACCCTCACCACGTGGCTGCCATACTTCCCTAAATGAGTATAAGGCCAAGGACACTAAGCCTACTGTGGAGTCCCCCAGCATGGGGCACCCCGGGAACCCCACACAAATTTACAAGGAGAACTAGGGTACCAAGTTAAGTAACAGGCTGGTCTACTTCCTCAATAGTTGATCAGTTTTTAGCAAAACTGTTTTCCTCCAGTATCTCCAGTGAAGTGGCACTGGCGATACACCGGTACCATCTGTGGAGCTTATTCCCTACCTAGTACAGGCAGTGCTTTTGCCCAACATGTCAGCAGTGGGAGGTCCTGACTGCACTGCAGCCACTTCACCCAACGTGTCAGCAGCGGGAGGTCAAGCTGGTCCCATGGGGCAGTGCCACAGGGGCTGTACCCATGGAAGGATCACCAGACCTGCACTGTCCTTGGTCTTGTAGGTGACTGCCACATCCAGCCATCCCAGCACTTTGCTCCTCAAAGTCTCAACCACAGTGTTCCTAAAAGGACATCATCAGTTCAGCAGAGGACTGCCCCAACCCATCCACATGAACACATTACTCAGACAAGACGCCAAAGGACCAGTGTGCCCAACAGTTTGATTTCCCTGTACCTGCAGTTCCCGGACAGTGTCCCAGTGCCATGGGAGCCTCTGTAGCAGCACTCCTTACCTCATGCCTTCGGTGGAGCGGTGGCGGTAGTTTCGGTACAGCTGCGGCACACCCAGCATGGCCTCGGTCAGCACAGCCAGAAAGCCCAGCATCTCCACAAACACGGCCGAGTCGATGGACAGGTAGGTGACATAGCCCGCCACACCGGTGAAGGCCAGGACACACTGCACATAGTCAGTGAAGCTGCTCCAGTGCCAGAAGTGGTGCAGATCAAAGTCTAGGGACAGAGGAAGAGAGCTGCCTCAGCTTGGGTGAGCAGGTGGAGGTTCAAGCAGAGACAGATGAGGGTGACGCGTGGACAGGTCACATGAGCATGAGCAGCGAGGGGAACCAAGAGATCAGTTGGTATTGGGGGGACCCAGGATATCCCCAGAAGGCTCGCTGTGTGAAGACGTCACTACCGGCTGAAGTGCTTTGGGAAGTCACTGGACCGTGAAGGCTCTAACTTCACGAGTGATCCAGATTAACCCACTGCCAAGTTTTACCAGTTCAATGGGCCTCCTGGGGAATGGGGCCTAACTGGATGAAGCAGGTCACTGCTGTCTGAAGGGTGTGCTTTTGTCCCCTGCCCCTTTCTGGCCTTTTCCCTCACTCTATTTCCTGGCTGCCACAAGGTGAGCAGCTTTTATCTACCATGCCCATGTCATGGTGCGGCATTACAGTCAGGAGACCATGGACTGAAACCTTTGAAAGCATGAAGGAAGTAAATCTTTTCCTCCTGTAAGTTGTTTTCCTCGGGTATTTTGTCACAGCAAATAAATCTAACACAGCAAGAAAGCATGAACCAAGAGACAGGACAAGGTCAGCTGTTTTCCTCGGGTATTTTGTCACAGCAAATAAATCTAACACAGCAAGAAAGCATGAACCAAGAGACAGGACAAGGTCAGCTGAAGAGTGTCAAGGTCAGTGGAGGGAATTAAGGTCAAGGTGAGGGGAGGTAAGAGGCTATGGTTTGTGCAAGACGTGAAGTCATAGTAAGATGGCGAGCTATCGGCAGGCGAGGACACTATGGGAAGAGGCAAGCTGCATGTGCTCCGGATCCAGGTACTTCCTTCTGATGGAGCCTTTTGCAGTTATCAACATAAATGTTGCTAACTCTCTTAACTTCACTTTTAGGAAGGACTGCATGTACTGTGGCTCATGGAGTCCAATTCTTGGTCAGAACTGGAGCTCTGTATTCTGTGCACCTGGCCTCAGGGGACCCAGTGGACATCAGAACTGCATTGCTTGCTTCATAATGTATTCTGTGGGAACCACATTCCTAAGCTCTCACACAAATTAGTGAATTAAATGACACTCTGACAAATGAACACACAGCATTTTGTGCACATCACATACTGGTCCACCTGAAGTCTACTATATACTCCACTCTCCAGGCTCAGAGGCTTCGAAGGAACCGATGCCTCCTGAAGTCACTCCGTCAGCACTGCAGCCTAGGCCTGGGTGGAATGCCACCGTCAGGACATGCCTTGCGAGAGCTGCTGTTCCCGTCCCACCTGGGCCCCTACCAACTTAATGTTGAAAATCAGAGAAGTTCAAACCTACAATGGGGCCACGATCCTGCAAGGAGAACTGAGGATAATAGGTATGTGTCATTGGCACACAGCCCTGGAGGCCTGTATACTGTGCTGGGCTACAGTCAGTGTTTATGCAAAGCCTCTGGCACACCCTGCATTCCTGGAACCATGGAACCATGCTGAGCTCCAACATGGCTTTGCCAGCCTCTCAGCCGCACATCCTGTGCTCATGACCAGGGACCCACACATGGAGAGAGGGAGGGAGCCCCCTCAGTGGAGTCACATGGACCTGGCCAATGGATGCCTCCTGAGTGGTCAGCTGTCCAACAGGCAGAGAGCAAGCCTGGAAGGGGCGATAAAGGTTGTACCCAGTGTCCTGGATTTGCTCCTGCTGATGAAAAGGCCAAAAGCAGCTCTGGAAAAATACCTAAGTCTCAACAACCTACAAAATACGTATCAATTAAACCTCTGAGAGTTGAGCAAATTATGTTTTTGAGTCTTGATTTGCAACAAGAAAGATAACCCAATTAAAAAATGGGCGATGCTCAGTGGTAGGGCACCTGCCTGGCAAAGTCCTGAGTTCAACTTCCAGTTCAAAAAAAAAAAAAAAAAGTTGGGCAAAGAGTTTGGATATTTCTCCATGAAAGAGAGGCATATGTAATGATGCTCAGCAGGAGCAGTATCAAGAAAAGCACACACTCTCCATATTCACAAGAGACAGAGTTCAGGGAGCTGCCCCCAAGCCCGTGCTAAATAAAGAGAGGAACCAGATCCAAGTAAAGTCACAGGCAATTTTAAAACAAATTTCCAATGAGTTCTGAAGATGGAGGCTTGATAGGTAGCTGAGTAGAGAACCTCTCTAAGAAAAATAACTCAGACGCCAGAATTTAACAACATGGAGAGGACCAAACGAAAGGAGAGGGATTCTCATGATCCAGGAAGAAACTGAGGAAAAAGAAAGAAAGGAAGGAAAAACATGGATGAAAGGCTGGAACCAGATGCGCTCATTGGGACCAGTCCCGGGCTGTGCTGGGCGCACTGTGGAGTCAGACAATTCACGGTCGTACTGAAATCGCAGCCTCTGAAATCCAGAGTTGGTGAGTCCGGGGCCCTTGGAGGAGGACGCAGCACAGCGTAGACTGGAGCCAAGGTGGAAAGCTGCATTAATTCACAGTGAGTGCTGGAAACTGGGTCCCGTAGCGGATGGGGCCGGCTGGAGGACATACTGGAGTTGGGCAGAACAGGCCTGAACCCAGAGCCGCAGTGGCGTCAGTCAGCTGCCCCTGGCAGAAAGAGGACTGGTGGGATCTGCTTGGGCTGAGTCATGCCCTGGTCGGGACCCAATAGCCAGGGACTGAACTGTCCCGAACCTGTGACATCACCACAGCACAGACTAACGTGCTGAAGACACTCACAGGTTGAGTGGCTCAGCGAAGAGGGGCCAGCCCACAGTGCCTGCGTGCACCTCAGATAACAGCACCTGGAGAAGGCAGCAAAATCCCAGCCAGCACGCTTCAGAAAAGCCGTAAACAATATGAGACCTCCACCATACACCTGTCTGAAAGAAACCAGAAACATGACAAGAGAAAGAAATAAGAAAAAGCCTCCAGCTGCTGACCCTGGGAAAATAAGTCCAGGAGCAGTAAATACAGAAGAGATCCAGGGCAGCAATCATGCAATATTGGCCACAACATCAGCAGACATAAAGAAACACCTTCATGACCTCACAGACGAACTTAAAACTGAAATTCTAATCCAAGTGAGGCAAGATATAAAAAGATTAAAGAAATGCTAGGCCCCTCTCAAGAAGACAAGGATGGAAGAATGGAGGAACCCAGAAAAAGAAAAACTACTTTTGATGAAGAATATATACAAAATCTAGAAAACATGAGACAGATCCAAAGAGATTACCAGGAAATTAAAAACTCCATTGAAAGCTGGCAAAATGCCTTGATAGAAAATAAAGTTAGCCTTTCAAAACTTGAAGACAGATTTGCAACGTGTGATCATGAAAGAAAAGATCTCTTAAAAATAACAAAGAACCAGGAAGTAACAATACAAAGACTAGAAGATGACAAGAGGATCTATAACTTAAGAATAAAAAACGTGAGCGAAGAAGCAGGAGTAACCCCAAATGAATTACAAAGGCTATTCACAGAAACAATTAAGGAAAACTTCCCAAGCATAGGAAAAAGAAATGATATCCAGATAAATGAGGCATACAGAACTCCAACTGTTGTAGTCAGGGGTTGTACACAGAGAACAACCAGGGTTAGGACATGGAGTTCATAATATTTTTATAATAGTCACCGGGAGTTAACAGGAAAATGCAGGAAATCTATCCACAACACCAAAGACATAGATTATTTAGTCAAGAGCCTAAACCCCACAGCACATGGTCTCACATGAGTCTAGATAAAAACCCAGAGCTCAGGACAATGCCTCCCACGAGTCCAACTAGAGGTCCAGAGCCCACAAGAAGGACTCACGCCAGTCTCTTTTATGGAACCATGGCAGGAAGACCCAAGAGTCAGCGGTGGAAGCCAGAAAGTCTATGCCAGCAGGATGAAGGAGCTGTGCTAGTGGGATGAGGGTTCTATGCTGGAGCCAAGAAGTCACACTCACAACAAAGACCAGGGCTGTCCTGAAAGGTACCTCAGCCATCCTCAGCCACATGGAGGCCCCGAGCTCCTCCGACGACAAGCACAGTTGAGTACCTGCCAGGAAGCAGCATGACAAGTTCATCCTTGAGACCAAGCAGCACATGTCTTCCCCTCCAGAGCCAGGAAGCAATGCTCGATGTGAAGACCAAAGCTTCTCCAGAACCAACAGCTCAGACAGCAACTCATAGTGAACCCACAATGCCTCCTGTCATGGTTTATGTATGTGTCCCCCAGGCCTCATGAGTTTGCATTGTTCATTTGTGATGGTTCATTGTATAGTGCTTGGATTGATGGTGTCAGTGCTCCACCCACATAGGGGTGGAGCCAGGATGTGATGTAATGGCAGGAAGAAGGTGTGTCTTTCTCTTTGCTGGTCTGAGCTTGCTGTCGACCGCTGCCATGAGCTGCAGTCCACCCATGCCCACCTGCCTTGGAGCCAACTGAGTGTGGACTGAAACCTCCAAAAACTGTAAGAAATAAACCTTTCCTTTCCCAACTTGGGCATCAGGTATTTTGTCTCAGCGACGAGCATAAAGTAACTGAGACACCTCCTTAATGACTCAACTCTCAACACTTCCCTTCTTCACCTATTTATCCTGGCAACTTTCCTCAGGTGGATCATCTTCACTCAATGCCATGCTGATGTAATCCAACTGGCGTTAAGTTGACCACCAGTTCTTAACCCACAATACCAACCAACTACAACCAAAACAGATCTACACTCAAACATATAATCAAGATTCCAGAAATTCGCCACAAGAACAGAATATTAAAAGTGGTCAGAGAGGGGCTGGGGATTTAGCTCAGCGGCATAAGTGTCTGCCTTGCAAGCAGGCAGTCATGAGTTCGATCCCTGGTACCCATAAAAATGAAAAAGACAAAAAAAAAAAGTGGTCAGAGAAAAGAAGGAGATTATCTATAAAGGAAAATCCATCAAAATAATGACAGACTTCTCAACACAAACTATCAAATCAAGAAGAGCCTGGAGTAAAGTAATCCAAGCCCTGAAAGAAAATAACCTCCAACCCAGATTGATG